CGGGTGAAAGCGGAGGGGATTTTGGATGTCTTCCAGACTGTCAAGAGCCTGCGGCTACAGAGGCCACACATGGTCCAGACACTGGTATGCTGCTCACACCACCTCCCACCCACAGCCCTTCTCTGTCAGGGCCGTCACAAGGGGAAGGCTCTCCCGGGGGGCCCATCATTCCCCAAGGTGCCCCAGACAGAATGAGCCTCGGTGGCAGTGAGAGCAGAGGGGCACAGCCCTGTCAGCACTAAGAGAATTGAGTGGCCTCTTGGAAGGCTAGAAGGGGGTGCTGGGGTGCCTGGGTGCCCCACAGGGCTCTGCACTTCTCTGTGGGTCCTGGGGTGGGAAGACTCAGGAGTGCCTCCTCTTCTGCTCAGGCTCCTGCCCGTCTCAGTGACCAGTAACCACTGACTATGGGGACAAACATCTGGAATGGCCCCGGAACCCTGGAGAGCTAGACATGTCTAAGGGGAAAGAAAAATACATTTTAAGAGGTTTAGGCATTGGTGAGGCTTTGAGACCTGGGCTACCTGCAGCCTGGCAGTTCTGGTGAGGTGCGGGCCACCCAGCCATCTCCCTGCCTGCATGGTCCACCAGCCCGGCGCACTCACATCTGACCGCTGCAGGCCTAGGGCCATGTCTCCCTCTTGGGTCACCTCCACTTGGACAAAATTTAGCTGTACTCAACCCAGAAAGGGAATGCTGTCAGAACTCTGAAAGGCAGGGCAGGACTCAGATTCAAGTCCAAAAACATTCACTTCCCCTCAGGCTTTTTTTTTTTTTTTTTTTTTTTCCCTTTTAAAAACCGGTCAGGAACTGCAGGTCCTATTGTCCTCAGTAACGTTGGTTTTTCTCTTCTGTTTGCTCTGCAGGAACAGTATGAGTTCTGCTACAAGGTGGTGCAGGAATATATTGACGCATTCTCAGATTATGCCAACTTCAAGTAAGAGGTGATGAGATCCAGTGGACAGGAAAATTGCCTTTAATATTTTGTAATATTCTGTTTTGTTAATATACCCAAAATTGTGTATATATCTTATAACTGTTTTAGAAATTGGTACATAGGCTTCTATTACCTATTAGGTGGAAGATTTTATATGTAAATGTGTTAGCACTGATAGTCCTTTTTCCAATGTTTTATTGGGGAATTAAATAGTGTGATGTTTGGATTGATATCGTGAAATCCTCTGCCTGGAAATTGGGCTGTATTATTCTTTGGTTTAGACCTCTTTTCCTAAAGAAGGAACACAAATTCATTCCAGGTAGCTCAGCATCAACTAAGAAAAAAAGCACAAAGTTCTCAGCGTTCTTGAGGAAATTGGTTGTCCTGGTGCCTCCCTCTCGTCTGCCCCTTTCAGGCTGTTGTTCTTCCCTGCTCTGTAAATAATCCCTCCCCTCTCTATCTCCATCCTCCCTCATCACCACCACAACCCACTGTGGGGAGTAAAGGGACCAGACCGGTGTCTCTGGCACCACTCTAGGGATTATCAGGTAATAAAAGCTTTGACTCCCTGAGGAAGCGTCTCCCTTTGTCTGGGGTGGGGCAGCCAGACCAGGGCTGGGGCTCTCCTGGGTCATTCCTAGCCCTGCTGTCAGTGCTCTCTCAGGAGCCGCTGTCCTCTCCGCTCCTGTCCAACTGGCACAGCCTCTTCAGCTCTCAGCTAGTTGCCAGGACCCACCTTCCGTTCCCAGCCTAGCTTTGGTGGAGTGATCCCAGCCAGCCTTGCTCCCTGCGAAATGGTCAGCGTCCTCACTGTTTCCCTAGCACAGGGGCATGGAAGAGAGAGGAGGTAGCTGGCCAAGGCCAGTCCAACTTCCCTGGTGCTTTGCTCCAAAACGTCTGGATTATGTCATTCTGTCCAGGGTAAGTCTTTATATATCCACACTTACTAGATTAAAATCTTTTCATTTCCTTTTATATCTGTCCACATTTCCAGGACTTTTATGTGGAAGTGCCTCAGATCCAGAGGCTAAGATGGTAGGAGTCTTCAGTCCCAAGCTCACTTCATCAAGTCAGTGCCCTCCTGGGCATTCAGTTTCCTTCAGCACTTCACCATCACCAAATGCACAAGTCTTTGGTTTTAATTTTTTAAAAAGGCACTTCCCCCAGGCCTATGCTTTTATGATAGATTCACTCTCCCCTCTTCTACCCTTCATCCTCACAGATTCCTTTCTTACTGCTTGTCACAGATCCACTTTCTGTCCACCATTTCTTCCCTTCTGACTTTATCTTTACTCTGTAGCTTCTGCTCCTCCTCTTTCTCCTTCCTCAGAGACTAGGCGTTCTTGTGGTCTGTGTGTTGTAGACCCTCCGCCCTTCTCCAGCCCTGAGCTCCTTCTTCCTGCCAAGTGACTGCATGGGTTGACCCTCAGGCCCCTGTCTCACACTCCCACTGCCCAGGGGTTCACCTGGTCTCTCCAGAGTCTACTGTCCCTTCCTGCGGCCTTCCAGCATTCTCTGCGCCTCTCTCCCTCCACCCCTAATCCAGGGATCTGGATCCACTGGCAGTTCCTGGGTTGACTCTTCACCGTTTTTGTTCCTTACAAGAGAGCCCCACAGCTGCTCTGTGTGCAGACTCCAGCTAACTCATTGTCATCCTTCACCCAGACCATCTGATCGGGGTCTGTGCCCTTCTGTGCTCCAGCAGCACCTGAGCACTCAGGTCTAAGCCTCTCCTTTCCCAGCTGACTACAAGCAACTCCCAGATGGATAAAGTCCTGTCCTCAAGGGCCCACCATTAGTTGGAGCTCAGTGCTGAACAAATGGCTTTCTGTGCCCTGCTGAGAGGGATAGAAGGATGAATTTCAGAGTCTTTAACCTAAAAGAGGATAGAAAACGTTCTTGAAAAGCTACGGATGTTGCCAGAAAGAAAGGAACCAAAGCATCTGCTGGAAAGCTTAGTTCTGGTTTGGTTTTTTAGGAAAAACCACAAACAAGTTACAGAAAACATAAAGGCACCCCATTCCTCTTTTAAAATAAACACAGGGGACTTTGAATAAAACATTCTGTAAACCCAGACCAGAACTAAGCTAACTTAGTGAACTCAGTCATTTTCACAAAACAAATATTTACCCCCCAAATTACTTGGTTAACCAACACATAGAGGAACAAAGTGTTTATTTCCCGAAACAGTTTAACTGAATATACAATGTACACATTGCTTCGGGTCCCTGCTAAAGATAAGTCATTTTGGAAATTCACGAGTGCCTTCCTGCCTAGGCAGCTGAAGTCCAGGTGCCTGTGGATGACTGTGGTGCCCGTTATGCCATCCCCTCCCCAATCTTTGCCACAGGATTTGACGCACCTACTCCCTGACAGCTGACTGCCACAATACCAAGCCTGACCCTGGCCCTTGCATTTGCTGTTCAGCGCAAATGCGGAGATTGGCTATTAATCCTGTAAACAGGCCTCTGCCCTCCCCCTGGCCCCAGGCTAATAGCTGGTGGGCGGTGGAAAGCAGAACTGACACAGATTGAGAAGTGGGGGGACCTTCGAGTGTCCTAGTTTAGCTGTGCCCAGCTCCATGAATAGTCCTGGGTTGAGCACAGGGGAAGGCTTGGAACCTTGAGAGGCAAAACTATTGCTACCCCCTGTTCATTCATAGGCCCACAGATGCTGCACTGTCCCCTTAGCTGGGCCCCCTCTCATGGGCCTCCTGGGAGGAGAGAGAAACCACCTGGGGGTCGGTGTGCCCCACCCAAACCTGCCTCCATCTGGAATGACCCAGCCCTGGTGCCCAGGTGTGTGGATGAGGCCGGCTGCATCCAACCCAGTTTAACAGTGGGGCAAACAAGCCCTCAGGTCCTCATAGTCTCCCCCAGACCTTCACACGTTGCTGGGCTCCCCACTCAGGCTGCCAACTGTGTGGCACTCAGGGTCCCCCAGGCATTGCCCCCTCCAGGCCACAGTTCCCTTTTTGGATCAGAGAAGACTAAGGGCTTTGTAGGCCAAAGGGCAGGAGCTTGAGGATGCAGCCTGGGAAGTGGGAAGATGATTCTTTAGGGCCTGGCCAGGCTGGAGCAGGAGTCTTACCATGTCAGATCCCTGGGAAGGCAGGGAGAGGGAGCAATCTCTCTGGTGATCTAGGGGCACTGGCTAAAAATACACTAGGAACATACAATGGTAAGGGAAGGGGGTTGGGTGTCAGGCTGCTCCCCTTCCCTCTTTGAGAAGTCACTGGAGTGTGTGGACCAGGAACAGGGTGGAGTCACCTGATCAATAAATCCCAGAGCTGGCTGTCTGGGGTCCTGTTGTCGCCTGGAGGAGCCACCTCGAGGAGCCACCTCATCCAGAGCTTTCCCGTGGTGAGTGAAGAGGCTGCTCTCCCCAAGGGCTGGGGCTCCTGGCTGGAAGTCTGTCCTGGGTGTGTGGCACGCTGTTCCTCTTCTCCCTCCCAAGTTCCTCTACCCATGAGCCATGTCCCTGGGTGGGAGTGGCGGGGGATGAGGGGAGAACACCTTTCCCTTTACCCCCAATGCTGTTCTTGTGCCTGCTGCCTCTAGTTAAGGAGGGACAAGGGGTAGAAGCACTTGCCCTTGGCACCTCCAGACATCCATTCCACATCCTCACCTGCCATGAATGAGAGCTGGCAAACTACAGAGAACAGAGGCAGCATGCCATGCACCAGGTCCCCCAAATGCCCACACATTGCTGCTACTCTTGGATAGCTCCCCTTCCCGGAGACTGTTCCTCTTCCCAACCTTCTCCCGCTACTGGAATCCCTGAAGGAAGAAGGGGTAGGCCTGATGGACTGAGGGGGACCCTCGGCTGGCAAGGCTGGGAACCCCCAGGGGGCTCTGGGGAAGGCTAGTTGCCAGGAGCCTTTGGGGTGCAGATCCCGGAGCTCTGGGATGAGCAGCAGTGGCAGAAGTGGGAAGGGCATTAGGAAACACTAACGCTGCCCCTGAAGTGCCAGTTGTCCAGGGGGCCCCTGAAAGAAAAGGAGGGAGGTATAGATGGCAGTGTCTCTTCTTGAGTGCTGTCCATTCTCCACGGGAGCAGCCCTGCCATGGCCAACCGCAGACTAGGCTTTCTGCTACGGCTGCTGCTCACCGTCCACCCTGGATCCTCGAAGGCCCAGCACTGGTCCCATGGCTGGTACCCTGGAGGAAAACGAGCTTCCAGCTCAGCCCACCACCCCCAGCAGGTCCCAAGGCTCCTAGGTGGGTTAAGGGTCTCCCCAGCCTGAGTGGGAGGAAGAAGATTCTGGTTGGGGCTCCTTCGTCTTAGAGCCTGGGGGGTGTAGCGGGCAGGCCGCAGCCTTGGCTCCTTTCTGAGGACGGGTCCTGGGCCCCGCAGCAAGTAGCCCAGACCAGACTGCCCAAACTCTCCCAAGCGACGCCCTGGCTCCCCTTGAGAAGAGTGTGCCCTGGGAGGGCAGAACCACAGGCTGGTGGCCCCTCCATGGGAAGCAGCACCTGGTGCAGACACTGCTGGTAAGTATAGGGAGGGGGCGGGCATGGCCCAGCAGGGGCCACTGCGTCTAAGGACTTGGGGGGCTGTGTGGACAGAAGAGGGGGATAACAAGGCAACACTGACACACTCCATGCCAAGACACCCCAGGCACACACAGAACGATACCATCTGCTATCCTTCCTGTTTGTCAGAATTCTAGACAATTTATATTTATGAAAAAGATTAGAAGTCACTAGTGAAGTGGAGATAATTGTACTGAAATCCTCCATAAATAAGACTAGCTGTAGCGGGGTCCTCCGGACTTCTTCCTTGTCAAGAGAAGGCAGTGTGTCTAGAGGTGGGCAGGTCCTCAGTGGAAAGAGGTGAGAGGTGTGAACTTAAACTGATAGGAGGGCACCAAGAACCAGGTGGTCACGGACATGCACTAGGAATGACAGTGATTGCAGAATATCGATGTGCAGAGATGGATTATTACTACTTCGCAAATTTTAAAGTGCATTAGGAGAGCGGTTAACTGAAGGAGAAGTTGTAAATTCCTCTAAGGCAAAAACTTAACCACTTCAATGAGTCAGTGTGAGCTCAGGTTTTTACAAACCAGGTGTGTTAAGGGTGAACAACGCCCAGGAAGCTACAGAGCCCGCAGCTGGGTCGTCTAGCTGGCAGGGGCATCAGTCTGGCGGCAGCGTCATCCCCCGCAAAACCAGATTGGGAGGGATGGGGGCGGACAAGGTCGCAGCTGGGCTGCCAGGTGACCACGGCATCAGCTGGCAAGACGAACCCCTCCCCCCTGCAGAACGGACGTAAAGCGCCGCACCCTGTCACCCTCCAATAAAGATGTGAAGTCCCTGAAGCTGCTGCCTCGCGTTCTCTCCGTCCCTCCTTCGCCCACCCCCACTAAGACCCTACCCTGCATGGGGTTGGAGGGACGTGGACTTGGCCCGCGGGCGGGAGGGACACGGGGAGGGGTGGGGCGGGGTAGTGCAGACCCCGCAGGGCGGGAGCAGCCAGAGCCGTGGGCCTGGGGCGGAAACGCCGAAGTCCGCAGGCACGCGACCCTCGAGCGCCCTCGGGGCAAGGCCTGTGGACTACACGTCCCGTGGTGCTCCGCGGCCGCTTCCGGGTCCCGTGATTCCCTGCGGCGCGCGGGACGCGGGGTAGGCCTGGGCCATGCTGCGCGCGCTGAGAGTCCTCGGCTGGGGGTCCCCGGGCGGACCACCTGTTCCGCTGCTGCTGCCGGTGCGCGGCCGGAAGACCCGCCACGACCCTCCGGCCAAGTCCAAGGTCGGGCGCGTGACGACCCCGCCCGCGGTGGATCCTGTAGAATTCTTCTTGCTGACGGAGCGTTACCGGCAGTACCGCCAGACGGTGCGCGCCCTCAGGTGTGTGTGACAAGGAGGAGGCGACCGTTGGTGTCGCGGGCGGTGTATGGCAGCGGGTGGGCATAGAGGGTGCCGACTCTGGGCGCGTCTCCGCCTAGGCTGGAGTTTGTGTCCGAGGTGCGGAAGAAGGTGCACGAGGCCCGGGCTGGGGTCCTGGCGGAGCGCAAGGCGCTGCAAGATGCTACCGAGCACCGCGACCTAATGGCCTGGAACCAGGCGGAGAACCAGCGGCTGCTCGAGCTGCGGTGAGTGGGCGGGGAGGCGGGGCGGGCCGGCTCCGGGGAGAGCCAGTCGCGCTCAGTGTCAGCGTCTTGCCCCACCCCACCCCAGGTTAGCGCGGCTGCGGCAGGAGGCGCGGGAGCAGGAGCAGCGGCAGGCAGAGGAGAAAGCCCGGCGGGCGCTAGAGGCGCAGGCCTGGGCGAAGCTCAAGGAGCAGGAAGTGCTGCAGCTGCAGGTGGGCGGGGTCTCGGGGGTCTGGGGCTGAGGCTGGGGCTGGAGCTGGAGCTGGAGCTGGAGGCCGGGAAGTCGGCCTGGGCGCGGCGCAGTGGGGCACTGGCTACGTGCACTGAGCGAGCGTGCCGCCTTGAGTCTTTAGAGTTAGCAGGTGAGGATTTGGGAGCGAAGGAATTCAAGGAGAGTGGCTGGCAGGCGCAGAGACCGAGAGGTGAGAATTGTTAGGAAAAGTATTACAGTAGCTAGGTGGTGGTAAGCCCGCATCTGTGGGGGAGGGACTCCCGTTTCCGCAAGGAGTTCGTATTTTGCTTTGCGGGTGATAAATCATTAAAGTATTAATATTCTGGGCTAGGATGGCAGGTGTGAGACTTAATAAAAGCAGGGAAACCAGTTAGCAGTCATCCAGCAAGAATGGATGAGGTCTGAATTAAAGTTAGATGGAGGGACACCTGAGTGTCTCAGTCAGTTTGAGTGTCTGACTTCAGTTCCGGTCAGGATCCTGGCCTCCTTGCTCAGCGTGGAGCCTGCATCTCTCTTTGCTTCCCCTGTTTGTGCTCTCTCTCTCTTTCCCTACCTCCATCTAACAAATAAATAAAGTCTTTTTAAAAAAAATAAAGTAATAGAGGAAGAAGGACAAGTTTGAGAGAGATTAAGAGGGACATTGAGGCAACATTGAGGAACAGATTCTACCCAGTTGGACACGAGATTGTCACAACTGGTGTACTTGGAGTTCTGGCTGAGATGTCCAGTGGATAATTATCTAGGAAAGAGGAATATGGTGAGACTGCCTGATGTTCTTCCATGGGAAGGTCATCAGGACACTCACAGGGGACCTGGGCTCCAAGCATCCATCCAGGGAGAGAGCTGGAGCCTCTCAGTGAGCTAAAGGCCAGGAGGTATGTGCTTTCATTCATCTGGTCTTCTGTCTCCCAATAGGAGGAAGCAAAAAATTTCATCACTCCAGAGAACCTGGAGGCACGGGTGGAAGAAGCTTTGGACTCACCGAAGAGCTACAACTGGGCCATCACCAGAGAGGGGCTGGTGGTCAGGCCACAGCACAAGGGCTCTTAAGAGCCCAGTAAGAACAGTGCCCACTGTTCTTGTGTGTATGGGCTTAGGAGGGTCGGAACTGATCTGTGTGTATGGGCGTAGGAGGGTCGGAACTGATCTGCAATAAACCTGTCGATGGTTCTTAGGAAAAAGGAGGCGCACCATGTTCTGGCATAGCCCTCACATTCTGGCCTCTGCACCCACCACTTGTTCAGAAATTCCCATCCACAGTGTCCTCTTCTGCACCCATGTACAACTCAGCAAATCACCAGACCTTAGAGGTTCCCATCTCACAGAGGAGCAAAATGGACCATAGTTCCCTCAGGCGACCCAAGTCATCTACTAAGTGTCATCAAGGACAAGGACAGTGGTTGGCAAGTTATTGTCCATGGGCCCAGCCTGGCTTGCTGCTTCTTTTTGTAAATCCATTTTACTGGAACACAGCTAAACTCATTCATTGACTACTTTCACACTGATGGTAGAAACTAGTAGCTGCGACAGAGACCATTTGATTTACAAAGTCTAAACTATTCGTTCCATGGGTTTTTACAGAAGTTTGCCAACTCCTGATCTAGATCTTTAGGACTCAAGCCAGAGTACCCAGACACCACCCAGTACCTGAGAGAGAAGCTAACCACTGGCCTGCTTCTGCTTGACCCTGAGATTTGCCCTCTAGGGTCTGGTGTGCCCAAGACACAGAAGGCAAGGAGGAGACCCCATTTCTTATGGTGGCCCTTCCCACCCATGACTTCAGTGACCCACATGTGCCCTGGCATGGGTGGCTTCCTTGGACCACACCCAGATTGGTATTGGCAGGGGAGGCCTGGTTGACCTTTACAAGGCCAGTGGCTTATCCAGCCCTTGGACCAAACCCTACAGGTACCAGAAATACTTGCAACTGAAGGTGACAAGGTTTAGTAAATGAACACAGAGATGTATGGCCCCTATTCAATTTCCCAAATCCTAGTGTTTCTTAGAGCAAGAGCTGCTGCCCCTTTGTCACCATTCACCTGAACTTGCCCAGATACCACCAGGGGAAAGCAAATGGAATCCTAATTTATTCCACCATCTACCATGTGGTGGAGACGGTCTGGAAACCCCAAAGTACAGAAGCCTTTTAGGGAATATGGGCCATCCCTCAATATTCAGGTGAAGAAGCATGTAGAAAGGTACAGGCAGAGGGCCAGTAGTTATAGTTCCTTGCACCCAGCCTCCATCAGGCCCTGCCCGGGTGAGGGCAATGGCCTCCCTCTTGCAGGCTGATAGGTCACCTTTCCCGGGGCACCAAGCCCAGGCAGAGGACAGTGCAGTCCTTGACTCCAGGTGCTCAGTGTAACTTCTGACAGGAGAGCCGATGGGTGCACATTATGGGCCATGGATTGAGGCAACTGTGCCCATAGCCTTGGGCTTTGCTGTGAGGAGGGGACCACATGCAGTGGAAGTGTTTGGTGAGCTTGGGAAGTCCAGTTTCATTCTTGCTAAAGTCCCTGCCCTTCTGCATCAGGATTCTGACACAAACTGTCTGTCCTCTGGTGAAGAATGTGTCCTACTTCCTTAAAGCTCTGTCTTTGGGCTGCCTTTCCTTCACGGCTATCCTTTAATGTCCTGTGTGGGGCTGTAAGTCCTTAACATCCACTGCTAATGCCAGTATGTCCTGTGGAGCCACCCATAAACCAGGCTTTGATGTTTTTATCCTTTATGCACAACCCTCTTACTGCTATAGACCCAGATGGGCAGCTTACTGGTACCTTCAGAGTTAAATCAAGCCCAATCGCATCTGTACCTGCATCTAATGAGTCAGAGTGCTGTTAGGTGCACATGGTCCAGGGTGCTGACTGATGTGGTGTGTCATGGAAGAATGCCTAATCTCCAATAGAACCGTAATCGTTAAGCTGATGGCTTCAAAAAGCCCAGGACCTCTGATTTTTCCCACAAGTTTCAAATATGCTTTGGGTCTGCTATACACAATGTGAACCTGGACCTCTCAGAGAATCTTCTCTCGCATGAGGTCCCACTTGAGCATAGATTTGAGGGCTACCCAATAAAAGCATCTGGCGGGCAGTACGCAAACATAAGTGCTTTCACGAGGATTTGGAGAGGCCCACCCGCCACGGTTTGTGCACCATGAGGGTAGATGGAGGGACAAGTGTAATTTGTGTTTCACCTAGGGGGAGAAGTACGCTGACCCCAAGAACGTTGCTGGGTAGACACTTTTTTCCTGGGATTTAACTCCCCAGTCAATCTGGATTCCTGCCCCTTCCGATTCTCCAAGATAAGCAACATGACATCAGTGAAGTGGGCCACCATGATGTCCTTGGGGTGGGTGGTCAAAGTCTTGAGGATTAGGTTGTGCAACACTACAGAGTTGTTGGGGTGCCTTCCTGGCTTGGTCGGTGGAACATGCAACTCAACCCCGGAGCTGTAAGTTCAAGCCCCACGATGGTGTTAAGAAGTTACTCAAAAATAAAGTAGGGCGCCTGGGTGACTCAGTCGGTTAAACAACTGCCTTCGGCTCAGATCATGATCCCAGGCTCCTGGGATCCAGCCCTGCAATGATCCAAGGATCCTGGGATTGAGCCCTGTATCGGACTCCTTGCTCAGTGCCTCTCCCTCTGCCTGCTGCTCCTGCTACTTGTGCTCTCTCTCACTCTGTCAAATAAACCTTAAAAAAAAAATGAAAGAGAAGAAACAGAACACGGACTAATTCATTGTTCTATTTCCAAGGCTTCGAAATCAAGAACCTGTAAGTTCAGCACACTGTGCGGGCACAGGAGGGCCCACTAAAGTGACAAGGACAAAGCTGCATGCCCCCTGCCCCAGTACTCCAGGGTGGGGCTGTGGGTCAAAGTGCCACTAATCTTCCCCAGATGTTTTGGCATTTCCCCTTGCCAAGGGTAAAAACCCAGTTAAGTGGCTGGAAGTCTCTAGGAACTTATGTTCTAGTTTACCTTATTATTATTATTTTTTTTAATGTTGCCTCCTGGGGGAGAGAGACAGTCCAGAAATGGGATCTTGTGATCTACTGGAGGGTGGTCAAGGTCTTGTGAGTTTGACATCTACATATCAGTCCTGGCTACCGTACCTCTGCCCACCACTGCCAGACCCCAAGCCCACAAGTGCAGGTGCTGGCTAACGGGTCGCTACTGCAGTCAGAGCACCAGGGCCCAGGCAGGAAGGTAGGGGTGGCTTGTTGCTGCCAGGGGTGCCCCGGAAGCTGAGGGATAAACGTGGATTCACCCTTCATCTGGCCATAAAAACAAATCTTGCTGGGTTGTCTGGATGGCTCAGTCAGTTGGTCGTCTGCCTTCATGTCAGGTCAAGATCCCAGGGTCCTGGAATCAAGTCCCATGTCGGGCTCCCTGCTCAGCAGGGAATCTGCTTCTCCCTCTCTCTCCGCCCCTCCTCCCGGTTCAGGCTTTCTCTCTCTCTCTTTTTAAATAAATAAAAACAAATCTTGCCAGAGACTCCCAGGTTATTTTTGTAATGGAAGCCAGCTGGCAAGGAAGCCCGGAGCGCGGTGTGCACACTTCCAGCCACCTGCGGAGCTGAGGCTTATGGGTGAACAACCTAGAAGTATGGTTTCTCACAATTTAGGAGTATAGAGAGCAAGAACAAGCAGAAATGTTTTGTAGAGACTTCTTAATAAGGTGAAATGAACTTTGAGACAGTAATGGATTCTGACAGGGATTTGTATTTTCTGAAATTCTGTAAAAATTATTAATAGCTACATCGCTCCCTTGTGCTTTTTTGTGTTTGAGAGGGCGGGGGAGGGGCAGAGGAAAAGGGGGAGAGAGCATCTACAGCAGGCTGCACGCCTTACATCTGTCAGAATTGGCTGGTGTTGTGCGCGCCCGGTGTTTCGAGTGCTTTCTCGCTAAGTTTTGTTGCGACCTACCGGACCCCTTGCAGAGTCCTGGGGTGTGGCTCAGGGGTCCCCAGTCTAGATGGCTTGGGGGCCAGGCGTCTGGGGACGGAAGCCTTTAAACCCAACCTAGGGTTTGGGTTCAGCCCTAGGGGCATGGCAGGCCCCATCTGCCGGCACTGAGGCGGGATCCCCAGGAGGTTCCTGCCACAACCCAGCAGGACCAGGGGCCAGGCCCAGGCAACTCCTCTGAGTGCCCCGCTGCAGGAAGCGAGTTCACTGGGGGTTTCCGGCCACTTCTCATGAGCTTTCTGCCCAAATTGGATTGCAGTGAGATCTCGTGAGCTTTGGAATAAGTTCTCAAGAGATTTGGATTAGACCTCACAGGATTTGGACTGAGGTCATGTGGTGTCTCTGAGTTATCACGATATTTTAAATGACTTCTCATGATAATTCTACCCAAATCCATAGATTTGGGTATGGGTAAATCTATGGATTTGGGTAGAATTCTCACAAGAATTACCCGAGTGCCCAGGAAATTTGAACTGAGATCTCTCAAGCATCGAAAGAAGTTCTCACGAGATTTGGACTGAGATCTCCCAGGATTTGGGCTGAGATCGCGTGTCCCTGAGTTCTCATGACAGTTGAAGTGAGTTCTCAGGAGGGTTCTACCCAATTCTCATGATAATTCTACCCACTTCGAGAGATTGGGATAAAATTCTCATTAGAATTGCCCGAGTTCTCTGGAGATTTTTGAATGAGATCTCTCTAGCTTTGGAATACATGCTCATCTCATATTTGGAATGATTTCTCCTATTTGGGTAAAAAAATATCACGAGTACTGCTTGAGTTCTCACGAGATTTGGGCTGAGATCTCATAACCTCTCATGGTGGGAACAGACACTGCCGACTGTGTCCAGAGTCATGCACTGCAGCTCATTACTGCCTACAGTGGCCACAAGCTACACAGCCTTGCAATCACTGGTCCCACACTGCATCTGAACACTGACTCTAGTGACTGTAAGAAAAGGCTGCAAAGCCTTCTGGTATCTCTGGCACCGTAGCTGACCTCTGCCTCCAGTGGCGGGAATTGACACTGCCCCTCCTTCCAGTGTCTCACGCTGCAGCTCACCACTGTGTCCAGTGACGTGAAAGGGCATTGCAGCATTTTTCAGTATCTTGCACTGGAGCTCACCACTGTTTCCAGTGGTGGCAAGCTGCATTGTCACATCTCCTTGCTCCTCTCACCGTGCAGGTCATCACTGCCTCCAGTAGAAGTAATCAGCACTGCAAAG